CTGAAATAAAAACAATTGAATGCTGTCTTATTATGGCAAATAAAATATTAAACAACTTATGTACAGGTGTCAGATAAAAAATGCCCCAAGCTGTAACTCTGTCATTTACATTCCGATTTTCATGAGCGAGGTATCAAATGAAATGGTTTAATGAATACTATGATTTATGCACCAAATAATTTTTTTCCAAGGCCATCTTCAATTTAAGCTTTGGGCGTTTTTATCTGACACCCTATATAAATTTTTTTTTATAAAGTTGATACGTGCCAAGATATAAGCTATATTCCATACATAATGGGCACCTGTATAATATTAATATAATGTATAATAATAATATTTATATTAATAATTATTTAAACACTAACAAGTGTTATTAAACTCAAGAAATAAAGAGTTAAAACTATAACTAACACTAGACCTAGAACTAGAAACATTCGGGTTTAGCCGTCTTTAGAGGCGTGAGGCTAAATCCGAATATTTCTACTTCTAATACTAGTGTTAGCTTTAGTTGTACATTAGCACTATCACTAGAACTAACACAAGACCTAGAACTAGAATCATTCGGGTTTAGCCGTCTTGAGAGACTTGCGGCTAAATCCTAAAGCCGCACGTCTCTCAAGACGGCTAAACCCGAATGATTCTAGTTCTAGGTCTTGTGTTAGTTCTAGTTTTACACTAGCACTGTTACTATGTAAAACTAACACTATACCTAGAACTAGAATCATTTGGGTTTAGCCGCATGTCTCTAAAGATGAAAAAACTAAAACTGATAAACAATTTTTTATGCTAAATTATTTGGGTTAGCAAAAAATAAAAATCGACGTGTTTCGGCTCATGCCCTCATTTCGGCTCATGATATCTCCATTCGTTTTCAAGTTAGACAGGGGGGGTTACATATGACGCGCACTGTATACACTATATATACAGTGTGTCCCAGGATTGTGTCCCCGTAAGGAATAATTGACGATAAATTTTTGAATTCAAATTCCCTCTTTTGCAATTAAAGTCTGGATGTCAAAAAACGAAATATAACCAAGTTTTACGTCAAATGTCCTCAAAGTACCAAAGTTAACGAAAGAAGTTTGTTAACCGTTACAGGTAAAGTGGTCAAATGTGGTGGTAAAATGTTTGTTATGTTAAATTATAGCGATATGCCGAGTTTTATTAATTTAGCATATAAAAGAAAAAATGAGTTTTTCTTGGAATTTTTGTTCTAATATTCTGTTTTACAATAAAAATAAATGATCTGAGTGAAGTAACAATTAACATTTGATAGCTTAGCTTTAGCCTATTGTCAAATATTAATTGATCATGTTTACATAAAATATTTATAGTGCAGTGCTATGGATTGGGGAACATTAGTTACAATGCAGTTTTAAGAGAATTTGAGGAAAAATTTGGATTTTTAGTAGATAAAAAAACAATTAAGAGAATTGTTACAAAATTTTCGGAAACAGGCATTGTGGAAAATAAAAGGGAGGAAAAAAACCTTTTGGATGAACATGATGCGGGGTCGATTGTTAACAGTAACGAATGCAATGGATTACGGTAAGGTGTCGTTAAGAAAAAGGGCAGTTCAAGTCGGTATAATTAAATCCCATTTACAAAGAATTTATCGAGAAAATAAAATATTGCTGTATACACCAAAATTTACCCACACTATCGAATTAGGTGATAAAGCAAACCGTTTAGATTATTGTTTGTGGCTTGGGTACAAAATTTTGAAAGACAGAACTTTGTTAAAAACATAATACTAATGGAGTGGATACATCACAAAATTGTCGATTCTGGCCAAAGACTAATCCACATTATCGCATAGCTTATAAACGTCAGTATTCCCAGAAAGTGAATGTGTGATGTGCTGTTTCGTGGGACGGTGTTATTGGACCTTACTTCATAAATGGCAATTTGAATCAGACCTATATTTGGAAATACTAGAAAATTGTTTATTTAATTATCTTCACGGCGTGGATGTAGAAATACGCAATAAATTATATTTTCAACAAGATGGTTGCGGCCCACATTCGACCATTTTAATTAGAAATTATTTAAATACGTCATTTTGAAAAAAAAGGATTGGTAGATATGGTCCGCAACCATGGCCACCAAGAAGTCCGGATTTATCTATTATGGATTTTTATTTTTGGGGTTATGTAACAAAAAGTGTACACTGAAAATTTGAATAACAATTTAGACCATTTAAAACAAGAAATTGAAACTGTTATTAGAGAAATTCCGTTGGACCATATTAGAAAAAGTTATAAACAATGTCGGAAAACGTCTGAATTATGTGTTATTGTTGGTGGTGGTATCATTGAATAAGCTTTTATGTTAATTTAGTTTAGATCGAAAATGTTAATCTTATGATTTAAAATCTGCATTTTGCTTATATATCCTAAATTAATAAAATTCGGCATATCGCTATAATTTAACATAACAAACATTTTATCTTAATCAACTTTTGTTCTATATTGCTCAGAAAGACCACTTTACCTGCAACGGTTAACAAAGTTCTTGCGTTAACTTTGGTACTTTGAGGACATTTGACGTAAAACTTGGTTATATTTCGTTTTACGACATCCAGACTTTAATTGCAAAAGATGGAATTTGAATTCAAAACTTTATCATCAATTATACCTTACGGGGACACAATCCGGGGACACACTGACATGGACAAAGTAAGTAGGTACGCTTTGGTTTCTATGGAAATATATTTTTGTATATTGCTTCTTAAGTGAAATTCACTGCATAAATAAATACATAGAAATGTCAATTCTTCCAATGACGTCACAGCAAGGCTTTTGCGGGGGGATACGTTCATAACAATAGTGTTCATATGGAGTTGGATAACCTCATACAGTATGTTTGCTCAACGGACCTTGCACTAGACCTAGAACTAGATACATTCGGGTTTAGCCGCCTTAAGGGACGCACGAATGTTTCTAGTTCTACGTCTAGTATTAGTTACAATGCTTGTATTAGTTTTAGTTGTTATTCAACGTTAGATTATAGTATACTTCATATTGAACTAAAACTAGAACTTACACTAGATCTAGTGTTAGTTCTGGTTTTAATTGTTATTCAGCTGTAGATTGTTGTATAATTTTCTTGAACTAAAAGTAGAACTAACACTAGACCAGAATCATTCGGATTTAACCGTAAGTCTCTTAAGACGGCTAATCTCGAATGTTTCTAGTTCTAGGTCTAGTGTTAGTTCTAGTTTTAGTTGTTCTTCAGCGTTCATTCTTCAGAAAGGAATTAAGTTGAATAGGATACGTTCGAAAATGTCGAAATTAAAAAAATCTTATTGACTTCACTTTCACTTCACAAATTGAAGTTAAATGATGCCACTTCTCTAATTAATAAAATGTGGAAGTAATAAACTTGTGGATTAATTTTAGTAACATTTTGTTTTTCACTAAATTAATTAGATTAATAATGTTTTTATTTTTTTATAGATTTATTGCTAATTAGAAGTAAACTAGTTTAATATTATTATTGTTTAATTTTATTATTAAGCTTTAATTTAAAAATTGGTGATAGTTATCTACTTTACCGGCATATTTTAGCGATTGAATTATTAAATGTCATTTTAAATGTTTAAACAAGAACTAGACGGCTAAACCCGAATGATTCTAGTTCTAGGTCTAGTGTTAGTTCTAATTTTACACCACCACTGAAACTATGTAGAACTAATACTATACCCAGAACTAGAAACATTTGATTTTAGCTGCACGTCTTTAAAGACGGCTAAACCCAAGTGATTCTAGTTCTAGGTATAGTATTAGATCTACATAGTAACAGGTAACAGTGCTAGTGTAAAACTAGAACTAACTCTAGACCTAGAACTAGAAACATTCGGGTTTAGGCGTGCGTTCAGTGTTCTGGTCTAAAGAAGCACCGCTAAACCCGTAACTTTCTAGTACTAGGTCTAGTGTTAGTTCTAGTTTTAATTGTTATTCAGTGGTAGATTGTTGCATACATTTCTTGAACTAAAAGTAAAATTAACACTCGACCTAGTACTAGAAAGTTTCGGGTTTAGCGGTGCTTCTTTAGACCAGAACTACCACTACCAGTTTAACCAGTAGACCAAAATCATTCGGGTTTAGCCGTAAGTCTCTTAAGACGGCTAAACTCGCATGTTTCTAGTTCTAGGTCTAGTGTTAGTTCTAGTTTTAGTTGTTCTTCAGCGCTCATTTAACTTAATTCAGAGAGGCCTTAAGTTGAATAGGATACGTTCAGAAACGTCGAAATTAAAAAAAATCTTATTGACATCATTTATTGGAGTTAAGAAACGATTTATATCACAACTTGCAGTTAAATGATGCTACTTTGCTAATTAATAAAATGTGGCAGTAATCAATTTGTGGATTAATTTTAGTGACCTTTTGTTTTTAACTACATAAATTAATTAGATTAATTTAGTTTAGATTAATAAATTAATGTTTTTATTTTTTATAGATTTATTTCTAAATAGAAGCAAATTAGTTTAATATTATTAATTATTAGGTTTTAATTTAAAAATTGGTGATAGTTATCTACTTTACCGGCATATTTTTCCGATTGAATTATTAAATGTCATCATCATCACATTATCTAAATGTTTAAACAAATTTGAAAAGTTATTTATTGAAAATTAAGAAGGTATTTTAAGTTAAATTAAAGTTGATATTGTCTATTATAACTTGAAAATTCTATTTTTATAATAATTTAATTATTAAGATTTAAATTTACTTTGAGGTTAATGTTTTTTTTTTAATTTTTAGGTTAATATTTTTTTAAATTAATATTTGTTATAAATATATACAAAAAAAGAATGTTTTATAAGGGAAAAAGGAGAATTGGAGTAAAATGCGCACGCAATCTAAAAGGGGTGGATCCAATAAACGTCGAAAATTACAAAAGACAAACCTCCAGTTTAACAGAAAACGCAGTTGAGGAAAGGAGAGTGTGTCCTGGAAAATAAAAACCCACGGGTAAGTCGATCACTTTTTAAATGATCCAATTAAAAAAACCAAAACTGTCACTCGGCGTCCGCAAAAAATGACGGATTTCGCGAAATCGAACGGCGGCAACACCAATAACAACAATAATAACAATAGTTACATCGTTCGCGATCGCAACACGTTTTTAAAACCAAAAGGGGGACGTTGGGGTGGACCCCATTTCTACGTTCGCACCCCTTTTGGCGCCGTCCGAAGACCGACATCTAACAGACATGGAATATCTCGAATTAGGGGTGTTGGTGGTAGTAGTACTTTACCTCAAATCGCAATCAAACGAAAAGACGAATGCGGAGTAAACGCCGAGGTACAATTTTAAACAAATAATTATAATTTCTCTTTTCTTATTTTCCATTCCAGGTTGTTCTTTTGAACGGAAATTGGGATACCTCGAATGAAATCCCAAATATCATCGCAGAAATGCACAACGTAAATGTTGAAGAGTTGCAGGGTTGTCTTCATCGCGGAGTTTCCAGCAAACACTTGAAGATGGAATCAACGGTGGATGCTTTGGGGAGTCCCATGGGGTCCGATAGCGGAATTGAAGGAGATTGTTCCGAAGGAAATTTATCGTGGTTGTTGAATTATAAAATACAGGAATTACCACCTGTACCTGGTTAGTATTTTTTTTTTGAAAAATTAAGTTTTCACTTCACAAAAACTTGTTTATTAAAATTGTAAATAAACAAAACTATGTTTATTGTTTTGTTGACATTTTCACCTGTTTTGTCAATAATCGCTTAGAAATGTGACGTTCTTTTTGATGTTGAGGGTAAAAAAAAATCAACAACATCAAAGCTTACTAAAAAATACTTATACAATTTAAAGATTTTTTTTGTTAATTTTAGATTGTGCAATACCCGAGACGCAAACTTTTAATTTAAATCATTTCCAACCGACAAATTGCCCAACTCAAACTTTCGTTGCAACGGAACCTCCGAAACAATTCTATTTCCATCCTCAACAACAACAGCAGCAAATTCAAAACGTAAGTTATTTTAATTTTATGATAAAATTAAATTAATAATTTTTGTGTAAAGGTTTCAACTCAACAGCGACAAGAAAAATCAACCACACCATCTTCATGTCGCCTATTAGATGATGGTAAATCTCACCACAACAATTCATATCGTTATGCTGGCCCGAAAAAGCCCCCGTTTACTTACACCGAACTCATTGAGCACGCTCTTAATGAAAAAGGAGAATTAACGGTTTCGGGAATTTATCAATGGATATCGTAAGTATAAATGTTGATTTTTGAGGTTATCTGTAAATATTGTCTTTTATTACTACATTGGGGTTGTTGAGGTAAATCCCTGCGGAAAATGTGTTTGCGTTCTGTGTCGATAAACGGTGTCTTGGTACCGCGTGGTACCCCGTTAAAATGACCCCCGAACACGCGCCCTTGCACCCTATAAACCCCCCTCAAGCCCATCCGCTCTCACCAAGTGATGGTGCGGTGTTCACTTTCAAATGTGATTACACGATGACGCCTTAAACGTTTTCGTTTCGGTTGAGTGGAGAAAAACCGGAAACAAGGTGCATAATGCGTTTATTGCCTCAAAAAAGGAAAAAAAGGTTTATAAAAAATTAAATGCACCTGGTTTTTTGAATTTCTTTTTTTAATAGGGTTGTTATTGAACCGTTAAATAATCTAATTTTTTTCGGTACAAAAATAAAATAAATAAAAGTGAGTTTTTGGAGAATAGAAATAAAGGGAATTTTTCTTTTGGGGGGTTGGAAAATGGGGTGGAGACACGAACGGCGGTACCAGGCACTGATAGGACGGCACCTGTTGCACGTTTCTCTCCTAAATGGGGATTGGGTCACGAATGACCCTCATTTCTAAGCAGACGGGGGTTAAAAAATCGGTGAAAGTTCTCAACCAATCAAATGATTTCGAATAATATCTTTTCTTTATATTTTAAAGGTTATCGATCACATAATGTTTTATACGATATTTAGGAACTTAAAGCTTATTAATGTGTGCTTCAGAAACAACATTACCTCTTAGCTTCATGTAGTAACGAAAATAACAAGAATTGTATGCTTTTAAAAGAACAAGGAATACCGTGCCTGGAACTTCAAGATAAAAACTGGCTTTAAGATTTAATGTTTCTGGCTAACAATCATGCAGCTAGCTTTAATTCTAATTCAGCGTTAGATTGTTGTACACTGAGAGAAATGGATAGTTCTATGCACTAAAAATATACTATAAAGTACAATAGGTTTACTACCAATAGTGACAGCGAGACGAGATTGTATTCAGTACAATAAATATAATGAATATAATACAATGAATTGCTGCATGTATAGAATGAATCTGCATGTATAAAATTTTTTCTATAATACGATTCGTACAATCTATTTCTCTGAGTGTATACTTTACATTGAACTGATTTAGCCGTCTTAAGAGATGTCCGGCTAAACCCGAATGTTTCTAATTCTAGGTCTAGTGTTAGTTATAATGCTAGTGTTAGTTTTAGTTTTTGTTTAGTTAAACTATGTAGTTTACTATGTAGAAATTAACACTATACTAATAATAGATATTTTTAGTGCATAGTACAATCCATTTCTCTCAGTGTATTACTACTATAGCTACTACTATAGCCGTCTTTAGAGAGTGTTAGTCTAGTTTGACAGTAGCACTATTATCATGTAGAACTAACACTATACCTAGAACTAACTACTCTACGTCTAATGTTAGTTCTAGTGACAGTGCAAGTGCAGTTCTAGCTTTAGAACTGACACTATAGCTATAACTAGAAACATTTGGGTTTAGAGGCATGTCTCTAAAGACGGCTAAACCCGAAACTTTCTAGTACTAGGTCTAGTGTTAGTTCTAGTTTTAGTTGTTATTCAGCGCTAGATTGTTGTATACTTTTCTTGAACTGATTCGGGTTTAGCCTTCTTAAGAGACGTACGGCTAAACCCGAATAATTCTAATTCTTGATCTAGTGTTAGTACTACTTTTAGTTGTTATTCAGTGCTAGATTGTTGTATACCTTTTTTGAACTAAAAGTAGAACTAACTCTAGTCCAAGAACTAGAATCATTCGGGTTTAACCGAAAGTCTTTTAAGACTGCTAAACTCGAATATTTCTTGTTCTAGGTTTAGTGTTAGTTCTAGTTTTAGTTGTTCTTCAGCGTTCATTCTTCAGAAAGAAATTAAGTTGAATTGAAAAATCTTATTTACTTTATTTATTGGAGTTAAGAAACGATTTATATCACAAATTGAAGTTAAAGGGTGCTATTTTCAATATCATATAAAACTTGTTGAGTTAATAATAAAAGATTGTAGAAAATAAGTTTTTAAAAGGAATTTAGTTGAATTAGGATACATTCGAAAACCTCAAAATCAAAAAAATCCCATTGACTTTATTTTTTGTAGTTAACAAACGATCTATATCACGAATTGAAGATAAAAGACGGTATTTTAAAGTTTAATATAAAAATTGCCGTGTGAATAATAAAAAATTGTAAAAAAAATTTATTTAAAAGGATTTAGGTTGAATTAGGTTATGTTTGAAACGTCAAAATTGTGATTTAGTGCAAGGTCTATACTATAGAACGTAAGGTTACCCAATGCCGATTCTTCTCTCAGGGGCAAGGTGGGTCAGTGACGTAGCTGGTTCTATGAACAACACAACACGATGCGAGGTTTAAATATTTTATATAGACTGTACCACAGTATAGGCACATATAGGCTAGTAGTATAGACTCTTAACGGTTTCTACAGAAAAAACTAGGGCAATGATTTTCTCTCGGAAAAGAAACATTACTCGGGAACGGTTATTGATACATTTCAACAACAGGCTATCATGGAAAAATCAAATTGGTGAATCTGTTAAGGCTACTTTCAGTGGTTTAAACAGTCATTTGCCTCTACAAAATGGGGCAGTGACCAGAAAATATTAAGATTGCTCTACAGAAATATAATTAGACCTAGATTAGAATATGGACTTTGGCTAACCATTCCAACTGCGAAGTATCAGATCTTAAGAATGGAGAGAATAGCCTATGATGCTCAACGATTGGTTTTGGGGGTACTGAAAACTACTCCTTTGAATGCACTAACAATAGAAATGGGGGAAATGCCTTTGTCAATTAGAAGAAATATTGTCGACTACTTAAATTTATCTTAAACGATATGAAAGAGCAACCAAACATTATTATTAAAACAATGGAAAGTGAACAATATGGTGATTTGAATCATATATTCCTCGCATGCAACAGATGAGTTGGCCAGAAATATCCTGTTTGAAAAATTAATATAAAGAAAAGGTATAATTTAATCTCATTACTTGCTGATAACGGTTTAAAAATATTTATTTATTTACAATTTATGGGTACAGAAAAAGGAAAAACCAAAATGATCTGTACCACAAAAAAAAATTTACAATAAAAAAAAAGAAAACGTGTACCAAGGAAAAATGTATAAAACAAAAAATAAAAATTATCAAAATTCAAGCGAGCAATAAAAATAAAATTAAACATGAAATGAAACAAAATGATAAAATAAAATAAAACAATAATAATAATACAATAAAGCAAAACAAAACAATGCCTAATAGTAATCAGGCATTGTTTCACTTAACAGTAACGGCGAAATTAAACATTATTAAACACAAAAACTGAACCAACGAGATACCAAAACGTAGGAGGCAATTCGCAGACTGCATTAAAAAGTAAGCGCCTAAACGTAAAAAATGAATGCTGAAACAAATCAATATCGAGCTTATCAGTCTGGCGAGCCATTCGCAACATAGGAGAGTTTCGAAAAGCATTGGTGCGCGGAATAGGGGTACAGAACAAGAAATTAAAGCTAAGAAGACGGGGAGGTACATGAATATTGACCGAATTCAAAAGAACTGTGGAATCACACATATTGTGTAAAACCTTATAGAAGAATAATACGTCGTTACACCGGCGACGCTGTCGAAGGGGTATGGAAGATTTAAAGTTTAGATAGATCTAGATTGGATTTTTTCAATTCGGTCAATATAAATAAGGTATTGGGGATTCCAAACTACAGTGCAAAAATTAAGAATATTGTAAACATATGCGAAATATAAATTTTTAGTCGCGTCAACGCTTACAAAGTAAGAGGTGGATCTCATAATGAAACCGAGCATACGCCAAGCCTTATTAACAGTAGTGTCAATGTGCTGTGCGTAGAGAAGCTTGGAATCAAGAGTCACTCCAAGGTCTCTAATAAAGGAAACACGTATTAAGTTTTCGCCAGCGATGTTGTAATCGTAATGAACAGTATTCTTCCTTCTCGAAAAAAAATAACGTTACATTTAGAGAGATTTAGGGTCAAATGGTTTTTAGTGCAAAACTCAGAAATCCTGAGAAGGTCAGTCTGCAGTCTAGAGCAGTCCATCGGAGAGGAGATACGCAGATAAAGCTTGAGATCATCTGCGTACATTAGACATTCACAATGCTTCACAACCTTGAAAATATCGTTATCATAAAGATTAAATAGCAAGGGTCCGAGGTGGCTACCTTGAGGGACACCCGAGGGAACTGACATAGGGTCAGAGCAATATCCGTTAACAGACACAATCTGGCTCCTACCTCGCAAATATGAATCAAACCAGCGGAACAACCCACCATGAACACCATAACTATGAAGTTTTGATAAAAGAAGGCTGTGATCCACACGATCAAAAGCCTTGCTAAAAGCGGTGTAAACAGAATCAACTTGACAATATTGGTCAAATGACGTTAAAATATAATTTGTGTATGCTTAGTGGTTGCTCTCCACTGACCGATTCGCAAAAAAACATGTTGTCTGGGATCGATTTTGGATTTAAGGCTAAAGAAGAGTCTGGTATAAACCAGTTTCTCTAAAACCTTACCAAACACAGACAATATAGATATTGGGCGATAGTTAGATATAAGGTTACGACTACCGGATTTGAAAACGGACAAAATATATGTACGTTTCCAAAAGGCAGGAAACGTACCATCATTTACAGATTTGTTAAATAAGATGGAAAGTGGTAGAGAAAGAGATTCAAAACATGATTTTATTAGGATAGGAGGAATACCATCAGTGCCTGGACCCTTATTTATGTTTAAAGCAATAAGTGCTTCCTCAACCTCAGACCGCTCAAAGCGCATCGGACCCAAACATGTAGTATCATTAAGGTCAGCATTAGCAGAATGAAGTGAATTAATTGAATTAACAGAATTAACAGAGGGAGGGACATACACCGAAGAGAAATATGTT